TCTCTGTGTGTGTGTGTATGTGTGTGTATGTGTGTGTATGTGTGTCTCTGTGTGTATATGTATGTATGTGTGTGTACCTGTGTGTGTATATGTATGTGTATGTATGTGTGTGTGTGTTTACAGGACATGTGACTGTACATACTGATGGCAGCCAGAGGAGACAGTTGGGTGTCCTGCTCTGGCAGTTTTCACCTTATCCCTTTGAGGCAAGGTTTCTCAGTGACCTGGAGCTGGGCTGTACGCTCCTGGGATCCTCTTGTCTCTGCTCCCCTCCTCCAAGGCCAGAGCTATAGGTGCAGGCGTGTGCAGCCATACTGGCAGTTTTTCTGCAGGTGGCTGCTAACATCCAAACTCAGGCCCTCATGTTTGAGCAGTGCCTTAGGTTTTTGTTACTGCAATAAAACACCTTGACCAAATGGTGGCTTGAAGAAGAAGAGGTTTTTTTCAGCTTGAGACTGTCAGGCGCCAGTGCATCGCTGAGGGAAGCCAGGAAGACATCCGGGAGCTGCAGAGCATGCAGAGCATGCAGAGCATGCAGAGCATGCAGAGGCCACGGAGGAGTTCTGCTCACCGCTCCCTTCCCATTGCTTACACGGCCTGCTTTCTCACAGCACGCAGGACCAGCAACCCTCAGGGCACTGCCACTGTAAGGCACATCAATCATCCATCAAGACAGTGGACACAGACCGGGCAGTGGTGGCGCACGCCTTTAATCCCACCACTCGGGGAGGTGGAGGCAGGTGGATCTCTGAGTTTGAGGCCAGCCTGGTCTACAGAGTGAATTACAGGACAGCCTGGGATACACAGAGAAACCCTGTCTGGGGAGGAGGTGGGGAATAGCCAGCACAAGCCATAAGTACTCCTACCCACTGAGCCATCTCTTCAACCCAAAGGACCAATTTTGATGTCCTTACTGACCTCCTCCATTCCCCACTGTCACAGTATGGCTTCCTGCATACGTCTGTCCCTCTCCCTTATCTGCAACTCTCTGGGACCCTTCAAGGTCCTGATACTCTGCACTGTGCAGGAATGGGAGTGAGGAAGGACCTCAGAGACCCGTCATCTCCCTCTCCGTCTATAGCTGGGGAAGCCAAGACCCAGGGAGGCCAGGAGGCTGGACCAATGACACAGGGAGGGAAGCATCAGCAGGCAGCAAGCCAAGCAAGGTGCCTTAAACTAGGTCTTTGGTTCAATCACAAATGAGATCTGGATCTCTGGAAGACTCCTGGAAGCTACTGCTACAGGTGAGATTCTAGGGCTGCCATGGGAGGCATCTGGAGGACACATCTGGCTTCACATGGAATTCAGCTGTCTAGGTGACTAAGGTAGCCTGGGCATCTGGCCACAGAGGGGCTATCTCCATGGATGGCTTCTGGGAAGTCCAGCAACATTGCTTCGTCTGAGCATCTCAGGGAAGTGTGTGTGTGTGTGTGTGTGTGTGTGTGTGTGTGTGTGTGTGTGTGACAGTGTGTCCCATCCCTGAGCATCATGGTATGTGTCCTGGATGTATGCCAGACCCCGCAGCTTTCCTGTGATCCTGACCCTATGCTGTATCCCCTTAGTTCTTGCCAAGCATAGGACCATACTCCTGTACACTGATGTCATTCACTGTGTTTTCTGTCTGGGTTCCATTCTTCCAGAATGTCCACACAGCGTCCTGCCCAAACCCAAATCAGATCAGGTCATGCTGAAACCCTCTGGCTCCTGATTGCCTGCAGGATAAGGTCTGACCTTCTTTCTGCTCCTTCCTGGGTATTTGTCTCTGCTTTTAATCCCTGAACATCAAGAGACAGAGTCACAGCAGAAAGCTGAGGTTTTTCTAGATGTTAGGACTTCTAAGGCTCTCTCTGCCTCCCTCCCTCCTTCCCTCCCTTCTTCCCTCTCTCCATCTCTCCCTCCCTCCCCTCTTCTCTCCTTCTCTCACTGCCTGTTTAACTTGTGCCTCCTTCACTGCAAGCTTACCTCCTTTCTGCGTGCCTCCACTATGTCTGGCCTCAGAAGATCACTTGAATCTGGCCTGGTCAGATGGACAAATATGTGGGACACTGAGTTAGGCCTCTAACCTCTTTGAATGGAATCTCAGGCCTGTCCTGGATCAACACTCCAGGGTTACTGAAGCTACTGATTGGCCCTTAACCCTCTCCACACCTAGCTCTAACCCATCCCCAGGGACCTGACCATATGTGAGTTGGCAAGGGTTGGTCAGTTGGGTTCCTGCTCCACACAGAATGCTGTCACATGTTCTTCACCTCAGGACCTCTGACATCCACCATTTTGAATTCTGTCCACAACATCCTGTGCTGCCCTCCCCCACCAGGGACACATCACCTTCTGTGTCCCAGTCCTTGGTCACCCTATGCCCAGTTGTCTGTTCTTCTTGTCACACGCAGCTGGACTTCCTAGCTTACCCACCTCAAGCTTGTGACTGGCTCTGACTATCTGCTATGCAGGCAGGCCCTCCTTCCTGATTCTGCCACCCCAGACACTAGCTGGTCAGAAGAACCAGCTGTTAATGAAGCAAAATCCTCAGGTGTGTGCAGGGAAGCTGCTGGAGCCACCATGTTGGCCACAGCTGTCCCTATCTTATGTTTGCATCTGTCCACCAGTCTTCCTGATTTAGAAGTCAGAGGCAGGGTTCTGAGTCTCCTCCTGGAGAAAAAGCCTCACTGACAGGGAGAGGTAAAGCAGAGGCAGGGTGTAGGATGTGTGTGTGTGGACGGAGCTCTCAAAGGTTCCTCTGCTACCTCTTCCTAAATACCAGGGAAGCAGGAGGAGTTAAGTGGTGGGAGGCACTCCAGGCCAAAGGTCTTGCTCCCTGGTTTCCTGGGGTCTGTATTGGTGCCCAGCTTTTCTGGACTAGGAGTTGGAACTTGGCCTTTATGGGTGTGGCTAGTATGAGCCCGCCCTTCAGAGGTGTGGCACTAACTCCATGTTTCCCCTCCTAAGTGTAGCAGCCCCTCCTGTCCACCTCACTTCCTTCCTGTGGCCTTCAGCTCCATCCTGCTGGTCTTACCCCGTTCCTCCTCTCTCCTTCGCTTCTGATCCTGTGTGCTGGACTGGACGTCAATGAACAATAAGAAGCATGTGGGCTTTTCTTGGGGTACCTGACACCTTTTCTGGGACCCAAGTGGGGTAGGGTCACCAAATAACCCACCAGAGCGTCCTGGCTTTCCTCTCTTATGCAGCTGCTGTCTGTGTGTCTCTACCCACCTTGCAGCCCATCACCCAGTCTTCCTTCAACAATTCACCTCCTCTCCCTTAGGAAGGGATTCAATTTACCTTCAGCTCTACAGTGGCACCTCATCCCTCTTGGACAGAGCCAGCTAAGTGGGAGCAGATGGACAGCTGGACACAGAAGCCCCTCGGGCTAGGCTTCAGGTTTTTAATGGAAGATGGCCTAGTACGGTGGGTAGTGTCCTGCCTGTAAGCACAACTCTGGGGTCATCAGATGAACCTCTGATTAGAGTAGCCAGGTAAGCATTTCTTCAGTAGGCGCTAACAATACAGTCCAGCTCAGCCAGGAGGTCTTCTATAGGACACAGGGGTACTCTTTGACAGTGAGGGTTATTCCCTGCTAGGGACCTGCGGATGGACAGAGCTTGTGGGAAGGAAGCCAGGGCCACAGCCCAGGCCTGTCTGTTCTTTCCCACAGACTACTCCTGGGATGTCCAGACTTTACTTAGGGAGAAAAGATGCTTCCAGAAGCACAGTCCATGTTGGAAACTCTCCACCAGCTTCTGCCAGTTCTCAACGGAATGACAGGACAAGACTTGTCCAGGGGGAATCTAGGACATTAGAGTACTCCAGAAAGAAAGACCGGTGGACAGCTGCAAACATAATATATAAAAAGGTGAGCCCTTTTCTCAACGTACACTCTGATTCAGCAGAACTTTAATTAACGTATGTTGCCCTTTGACCTTTAATATTTGTTTATAGTTATGTCAGGGTTGGGGGTAGGGGAGGATCAACAAAAACAAAGCATGTATGAAATGCTATAATGAAATCCAAGGGCTGGTGACGTGGCTGTGGGGTAAAGATGTCTGCAGCCAAGCTCGACTCCCAGAGTTCAATCCCCAGTGACCTGCATGGAAAGAAGAATTGACTTTCAGAAATTGGCTTTTGGCCAGGTGCAGTGGAGCATGCCTTTAATCTTAGCAGTCAACATGCAGAGGCAGAAGGGTCTCTGGGAGTTCCAGGCCAGCCAGGACTACATAGTGAGAACCTGCCGGAGGGTTGGGGAGGTGGGAGGGAGATTTTTATCAAAGATAGAAAGAAACAAACTCACCATAGTTTATAAAACCATTAATATCAATTATCCAGAAGAGACAAATTCATAGAGACAGAGAGTAGGCTAGCAAGGGCTGAGGACCGTGTGCAGAGGGCATGCCTGAGTGCTAACAGGTGTGGTGGACACTTCTTTTGCACCATGAAAATGGTGGTATTAGGTAGTAGTGACAGATCGTGTGACCTTGTGTTGTAATAAAAACGGCCCAGTTTTATACTTTGGGTATGGTTTTGGGTCTGGGACTCCAGCTTAGTGGTAGAGTGTGTGCTTAGCATACTTGAAGTTCTGGCTTTGTGCCCACAATTAAAATAAGGAACCGGCAAATACATCATGGTGGTTGGTGCACGCTTCTAACCCCAGGTCTTGGGAGGTAGACATTCCAGGGCTTAAGGTCATTTTTCAGCTACAGAGCAATCTCAAGAACAGCCTGGACGGTATAAGACCATTCTCTAAAAATAAACACATAAAATGAATGAATGAACGATACCTAAGAAAGGAATATGCCTTATAGAGTAAAAGCTATATGTTGGTTGAACTTTTGTGTTCCAGCTTCCACCTCTCCACAGTCAGCCCCAAATACTGACCACGAACCCTGTCCACCATGAAGCTACAGACACTGAGACACAGCAGGAGGGGAAGGCTGGAGAAGGATCTTGCAAAGGAGCAGACCTCTCCAGTCATGATCATAATACAAAGTAATTCCGGTTCACTGAGGCTTCCAGTTCACTGAGGAGGCTGAGCTCATGACGAGGCAGCAGCTACCCTACTAAGGGTTACGAATGCATCACTACAGTAGGCCTCCTGATGACCTGGAGGTCAGTAGTACTGTCCCCATGTTATAGATGAGGAAACTGAGGTTAAGTGACATCCTATGACAAAGTCTTTGACATGGTGGCTCATGCCTATAACCCCTGAACTCAGGAGACATAGATAAGAAGATTGTCATGAGTTCCTCCGTAGTGAGGTCCAGGCCAGCCTGGCTATAGAGTGAGAACCTGTCTCAAATAAAACACGGGAGCTGGAGAGATGGCTAAATGGTTAAGAGCACTTACCGCTCCTCTAGAGGACGCAGGCTCTGTTCCCCAGCACCGCACATGTGACTTACGACCATTGTAACTCCATTTCTGGGGCATCCATGCCTCTTCTGAACTCCGAGGGCTCCTGACCACATGAGGTGCACACGCATACGCTTTGGCGCAGACACACATACACATAAAGCAAATATTTAAAAAAGGCAAAACTCAGGAGGGCTAGGAGGTGTTCCTTTGGTAGAATGCTTGCCTAGAATTCACAAAACCCTGTGCTTGATCCTCAGTACGGCAGCTCATAGCATGGAGAGCACTACTTTAACCCTTTCCCGAAAAGATAAAGTAGGATTGGAAGTTCAAGGTTACCCTAGGATACATATGGAGTTCTAGACCAGCCTGGGTTATGTAGACCCTGTCTCAGACAGTTAACAAGTAGCAGAATTGGAACAGAAGCCCAGACCTTTCTGTCTGGAAGCTCTTGACTACATTTTGGGGATGGGGGGTGGGGAGTGGGGGGCATCCTCCCATAATTCAAATCACCTTACATTTACTCCTTCCTTTCCTCCCTTGATTCTCTTCCTGCACCCCTTTCTCCAGGGTCTCATATAAACTATACTGGCCATATCCTTCTGGTGGGCAGTGATGGAAGCTCTCAAACTCCTGCTGTCATCTCTCCAGTGTGCGATTACAGGCACACACCACACCCAGCCTCCACAGTTGTTTTCCATGACCAGATATATGTTTATTTATGTCTCAAGCTCTTTCTGCACCCAGAGACCTTTCTTGAGAAGGCCCTTTCGTGCAGGGGAAGATGGTAGGGGCAGGACCTGTCTCTCTGCTTCCGGAACTTTCACCGTGACCTCAGGCAGGTGCAAACTGGTGGCCGCCATGACTTGCTCTACAAAAGACAAAGAGAAACCTGTTTTTCCTCACCAAGGGTGCTGGAATTAGACAGTGTTTGGCTTTCCCTTGATGGAGGATCGTCCCCTATTCCCATTGGGCAGGAACCAGTTCCTGTTAGGCAGGGCTGCCTGGGCCCCTGCCAGGACCTTGGGGGAGGGGTCTCCTTTCTGGGCTGCTCCAGAGCGCGGTTCCTTGGGAGACATCAGAGGTTTAATCATTAATGGGCCCGTTTACCTTTGGTTGCCGGCTGGGTTGGGATCCGTTCCCAGGAGCAATTATCTCTGACACATTATTTTGTGTAAAATCACTTTTAGCTGATAAAGCTGAAATAAAAAGGGGTCCATTATCCAGTGCTGGCCTCTTGGTGTCTGGGGCTCCCTGGGACCTCACCGAGGAGCCAGCTTTCAGGAGCTGTGAAAAAGCTTCTAGCAAACACGCTGAAAAGTTGGCCGAGCTTTAGGAGCGGCCTGATGTGTTTTCAGATCCTCCACGTGTCACCCCCATCTGCGGTTTCTGGGCTTGGCAGTGTGTCCTGGAGGCACGCCCACTTCATGCAGATCTACCTGGGGCCAGGGAAAATAGATGGTTTGCGTCCCTTGTTCCGGGGGGGGGGGGTTCCTGCGTGAAAGCTATGTGCTCCCCCCACCTCCCTCCCAGCCTAGGCTGAGTCCAGGTACTCAGGGGAGAAGGGGCGTCCTTGGTGCTTGGGTCAGTGAGCACATTGTCTGTGTGCATGTCTGCAGGTGGGGTTGCCTCAGCCGCTTGCCTCCCGTTCTCATCACAGGTGCCCAAAGCTCATGCTCCCTCTCCATCACCCTTTCTCTTCCCCTTCCCTGACCTTCAAGGGAGCTGGCTGAAAGCCCACCCATTCCATGGGAGAACCCCGACAGGCCACCCGTTCCCTGGGAGAGCCCCATCAGGCCCAGCCACCCCAGCAGTTCCGGCTTTTGTAGTATTTGGGTGGGGGGTGCATAGAGAAACCTTCATAGGAGGGGAATGGTCGTTTCTCGCTTTTTCTATAACATCTTTCCCTCCACCCTGGGTTCCCAGGGTCCCTTCTTGACAGTCTCTTATATTAACCCTGCCTTTGAGCTCCTCTGTGACTTGCCTGCAGTACTGACTCCCCTACAGAGTCATCTGAGGCCTTTGCCTTCGGCCACCTTCCCTCCACACCCCGCATTTCTTTCCCCTCAGCCTTAGGAACCTCCGAGTGTGCCTTCCTTCATTGTCTTGCTGCTAATTCTTTCCAGAGCTTCTCTGGGTCTGAATGTTTCCACTGCAGAGGCAGGCTTGCTTGGGCATAACTACAGTGCATACCTCCTGGGACTCAGGAGAGCTGGTCAGTGGTGGTCCCCTTTGGAGGCTGCTCAGTCAAAAGTGCTCAGACAGATCTGGAGCCATAGTGAGAGGCTGAGGATCTGGGCCTCTGCCAGCTGCTGCCTGTTTTTCCTCAGTAGCCCCAGGCTCTCCTCTGTGGCGCTTCTGTGACTGAGATTCATTTCCTGATGTTTTGTGAGGCTCAGGCCTATGTGACCTTTGGGGCCTGCCAGGCCCCACCCCCCACCTGCCCCCACATACTCTGCGATGGCCAGATGCCCTCAGAAGCAACCAATCAGCTTTGGCTTTGTATGGTCAAGCCTCTGTGGAAGAGCTGACCAGAGTTGCTGGCTGGCACAGCTATGTGTGGAGCGTGCCCACTGTTCCCAGAATTCAGGAAATTGAGGAAAATTAAGGTAGAGGACCCCAGGGGTTCGGAATCCCATCTCCACCCTTTGGAGATTTTGGGCCCGTTCTGCTAAGAAACCCAGCCTCACTGCCCTATGGACAGTGCCTGCATGGTGTTCAGGAGAGATGGCTTCCTAGGCAGCAGGCCTTCTGAGTCCTTCTGACTAGCCCCTCTGCCACATTCACATTCCCAGGCACGGTGCTTGCCCAGCTGGTCTGTCTTGCTCTGTGCCTTTTTACATGAGGTTTCATGTAGCTCAGGCCAGCCTGGCATTCCCTGTGTAAACAAAGAGGGCCCAGACCTTGGGCCTTCCCACCTCTACCTCCCAAGTGTTTGGATCACTCCGCTGCCTTCAGCTTCCCTCCTAAGACCCTAGCGGACTTGATCCATTAGCAAGGACATATTCTGAAAATAAGGTTCGTTTTAAATTGAGCTGGGTATTTAATAGCCATATTCACACAAACCACAGAGGTGCATTCCAGCACAAACTCAGCCACTCCACACCCTCCAGAGCAAGCTGACTGTGGGCTCCTGGGGATGGTGTCTGTGTCAGGGTGGGGGTGGTGACGGGGGCAGGCAGGCACTGCTGCCTCCTCCCTGAGGGTCACCATTGAGAACACAGCTTAGATACACATCTTCCCAACCAATCGGCTGTGTTATCTCCAGTATGCATGGGAGAGGCAGGTGATGGTTTCCAGATGCTCAGGGAGCAGCCTTCCATCCCCAGCCCGGCCTTAGCCAAACTCCTCCTACATACTTTAAGTGCCAAATGGTAATGTCTGGTTCCTGGGGTAGGATAGAATGGGCTGGGTGGGGTCCCCAGGGTCCTGCAAACACCTGCATGTGGGCTTGTGAGGACCAGCAGTAGAGGGTCTAGTCTGACCTCAGACACTCTTCATCTGAAGACAAGCCTGGTGTAGCTCAGCTCCGTAGAAGGGGACAGGACAGAGTGAGAGGACAATGGTGGAAGGGGACTTGTGAGCAGGAGGCTGTCAGGACCTTGGTCAAGCCTTCTCTGTGCATCCAATGGTTCTTGGACATTGCAGGTGAAAACCAGGCCTGCCCTGACCCAAGTCTCTGTCTCCCGAGACAGGTAGCTCATTAGCTGCTCAGATAAACTAATTGTTTAGAGGCTTCTTAGAGTGCACAGACACACTCCAGCCCCTCCCTCTGATTCATCATCCTACAGAGAGAAAAACTGAGGTCCAGAGAGGGGAGTGGTTAACTTAGGGACACATGGTGCCAGCAGGAGAGCTAGGGCTGTCCCCATGGAGGGAGGGCAGGCTTGGTGTTGGGCAATGCAGGTGACCCTGCCTCCAGGGTGGTCCCTAGGCTCCTGGCCCACACGAGACCTAATTAATAGAAACGGGTGGGGTGGGCTGCCCTGCTAGGTCATTGGAGCCACCTCAGTAGAACGATTGGGATGTCTGGGAGGCACAAATGGAAGCCCTTAGTTACGTGAGGAAGTCTCATCTCCACACCAAGTACCCTCTGCACTGTCAAAGATGAGCAGCTAATGGTGGGTGGGAACAGCAGCTCAGGAGCAAAGGAAGCGAGGGTACAGGCTAGCCTGGCCTGGAGCCAACTGTGGGTTGGGGGAGTTGAGGGTGCTCTTTCCTCTTTGAGCCTTAATTCCTGAAAGATACTCATGCAGAACCCAGCCTCATAGCATTGCTGGGAGATGGAAGACAGACAGACAGACAGACAGACAGACAGACACTAACACTCAGAGAGACAGAGACAGAGACAGAGACAGAGACAGAGACAGAGACAGAGA